GCACCTTGTTCTGCCTTTCCAGTCCATTTCGTCCTCTTCTGCAGTCCCGTGTCTCCACGTTCAGTTCTTTGACCTCAAGACAATCTTACCCAATTCAAATAGCATCAGCTGCAGATGTTGTCACCTCATCAGTTACTCCATAAACTTTGCGTGCCTGTTTCCAACACCACTGGCACCAGGATGGAGATGTCCCACCTGCTAGCTCTCTGAGCCAGCCTTTTATCCTTGCCCCACTTCTGCTGATGCTCAGCAGTTTGGAGTCCCAGGAGAAGCTTGTTTGTTGTTCTCCAACCATTTTAACGATCTTTCTTTTAACATTGTCTTTTGAGAGACTTTGTCAAAACTTCCTGGAAAAATCCCAAGTAAGTTGCATCAACTTATTTTCCTTTATAGGCAAGTCTCCCTGGTTTGCAGGGCTTTTCAGGACAGATTACTCTCTTTTTCCAGTGCCAGCAATCCTAGCAAAAACTGAAATTAAAATAAAGAGAGAACACCCACAGTGGCTCCCACTTGGAAGGGACATTTTTGCCCTTACATGGAGGTGAAGCATGGCCTCCCATCCATGAGGAAAGAGCTGTCTCCGTGTGCACTCACACACTAGGCTGAGACCTGGGCAAGATGAGAAGGGCAGGAGATCACAGCCATGTTCAACCAAGAATCCAGCTGGTCACACAAGTCCAAGGAAGCAGAGCTGTGCTGAGAACCAGCTCTTTGCAGCTCCAGGACTGAAATAGGCTCCAGGGTGTGGGTGGTGGCCTCAGATGGGCCTGGTGAGGGCCATTTGGTCTGATTAAGGCTAATTAGTCACATTTCTGTTGTGTGCAGCCCAGAAGCCAATGCCCACAGGGCTCAGTGCCATCTCCCAAGGCAATGGGTGAAAAGAAAAAAAAAAAAGGGATTTCAAATTACAGACTAAAAGCCTGGCTGCTGCTTTTATTGCAGCGTGTGCAGGTGCAAAAATCTGTTTAAAACCAACAAAAATGTGTCGGCTGGAGATTGTTTAAATACCCCTGTGCCTGGTTGCCATGTCAGGGAAAAGGTACATGTTCGAGAAGCTCCCAAATGGTTCCTGTTTTTTTTTCCCCAAAAATTATAACTAAATTTGGCAATAGCATCTTAACAAATTCCCCAGCACGCGCTTTCAGATATCACAGATATCCTGGGATCTGGGGAATGGTGCAAGGAGCATAGTAACGTACTTAGCAACCATAACAAACAAAAACATCGTGGGTCAGCTCTTCCTTTAATCCCCTAACAGGATTAATAAGTGTTTTGGTGGGTGTGCTTTCACTCCAGTGAGGATCCCTACCGTGGTATGGATCTCTGGGGTGGGAGGGAACACGGCAGTGCTGATGGACGTGCTGTGCTCCAGGCACAGGCTTCCCGGGGATTCTGGGTAATAAAATTCAGATTTTTAACCTGCACTTAAACATAACCTAGTGTTCCCTTGTTTGTTAAAGAGACAATTATGACTCTTTTGTTTGCAGGGATGTGTCTCATGTCGTGAGGGGAAGAACAGAGATGCTCAGCATCCCTGGATGCTTGGCAGGGAAAAGCCCATCAGGAATGTGTTTTGGAAGGTGGATGATGATGAGGAGGAGAAGACGAGACATGAAGTTGTGATGGCCTCCTCTTGCCCCTGCCCTGAGGAAGAGGGTGAAGAGGAGAGAGAAAGATTTCCCATGCAGACCTCAGAAATTCCAAGGCGCTATGTCACCTCGGCGGGTGCTGCATCGCTTCCCTCCAACGCCACTTCCACACGAGGTCTTCAGCCTTGCATCCTCACCCCCCAGCCATTTGTGGTGACAAACTGCAGCTTTAGGGCTCAGGCCGGATGCCTAACCCCTCCCAGGGCACATCTGGAGTCAGCTGCATGGGGGACTGTTTACCTTCAGCCCTCCAAAGGGAAGCAGAGGCAAACCAGTTATTTTTTGGGCTCCACAACATTTTTATCCCAAAGAGAAGTTGTATTTACCAGGGCCAGGAGAGACTCTCTCTGCAAATTCCAGGCTCAGGAAGTCTGCAAGATGCTGGGGAGAGGAAAAAAAATAATCTCCTTTAGTCAGCTCAAATGCTGGCCAGTGGTTTGCAGCCCAGTCCAGACACTGGAGAACCAACCTTAAATCTTTCTGGGCTGCAAGGGAGAGCTGCAGCCAGTAAATGCTGGGAGAGATGGCTAAGCTCCCTGGCCCTGGGCAGAGAAGTGGTTGGGAAGACAGGCACAGCTTCCCAAGTCCCGGCAGAGTCCCAGGCCAACTGGGAGAGGGGAAACCAGTTCACCCTGGCCTCGGGAATTAGGAAAATGTTGTCAGTTCAGGACTGTGTTGTGAGGAAAAGCTTCCAGTGCAAAGGTCCAAGCGCCCATCTCCAGCCTCATTAGCTGTTTAAAGCATCAGACAGAAATTCTTCTGCCCTGTCAGGGACTTATCCTCTTAATTCCTGCTTTTCAGCACCTGGAGCCTGGCAAAGCAGGGAAAGAAAATTGCCATCAGTGCAAGGGCATCGTCGTTCGCCCTTCAGAGGTGCCACAGATAGGAACAGGCAATGGAGACAGCAGATGTAAGGCACCAGGAGCTGCTCCTGGCATGTCCCGGTCTGCTCTTCTGCATCTCCTGGAGGAGCACATCCCTACACACAGGAATATCTTTATCATTCCTGAAACAGGGCAAAGGGCCCATTGCAGAAGCACGTCCAGCAGCTGCCGGGCAGACACTGCTCTGGCAAGCCACCAGCTCTGGGCTGCCCGCTCCGTAGCCTTCTTTCTCCTAACCTTATTTTCTTTCCCCAGAGCTGTCCATCTGTCTTCAGCTTTTCCTGAAAAAATAAAACATTCCTTTTCATTCCAGCCCAGCTCCTTTCCTGTTGGCCTTTGTGTCTTCCAGAAGCAATTTTCGGTGGCGTATGAGGACACGGCCAGACGCCTCCGCAGCGCTGCTGTCTTATCTGGGGCTCTAATTTAAAACACCCGCAGGGCCGAGTTCGCAGGGATAACTGCTCCCTGTCCTGGATGAAACATGGCTTGGCTAGGGCCTGGGTAGCTCTGAGGAAAACCTGTGGCCTGCTGCTCGGGGGCATCCTGGGATGCAGGTGTATGGTGGAATGGCCCAGTGGCATGTCCTGCTTGTTTCCTGTCCCTCCTCCTCCCTCTAAAAAGCCTTCTCCTTCCCCAGTTGCATGAGGACACCACCTCCCACCCCAGGATTAACAGGGTGTCCTCAGCAGGACACAGATACCCGCCTGCCTTGGAAGAGGGCATCTCAGCCCCCTTTGAGGGAGGCAGCATGGAGTTGCCCCACTAGCCGCTCCCTTCTCTCCTGATGCTCCTCCTGGGCTCTGTCCTCCTGCAGCCAGAGGCCTTTCCCTGTGGATCTCCATCTACAGGTGGGCAGCCCCCAGGTCTCTAAGCCCCTGCACTCCTGGAGCTGCGCCCCCCCCCTCCTCCACCAGCCCTGCTTTTAGCAGAAGCTCCACTTTCAGAAAACCATTTTATTTTAAATTTTGGCTTTTTGTGTGTGTGTATGTGTTGCTTTGTGTTGTGGTTTTGTTTTGTTTTGTTTTTTAAGAAGCAAGCCTGTTGGCTTTTCATTTCTCTCCTCCAGTGCAACCCTGGGATGCATTTCCCTGCCCAGCTCCACCGCCCAGCCAGAGTGCCCGCCAACCCAAACATCCTCCATCCGCCATGCCTGGGTTCCAGCAGCCCCGTGCAGACAGCAGCACTGAATGTCCCTCCTTGTTCTACAGGGAGAGGTCCTGCCCCCCTCCCAAGATTCCAGGGAAAAGCCATACCCCCTGAACAAACCTGGGAGCTCCATCCAACATGGATTGGTCTCCTTGGGAAGTCTCTTCCCTTGGGGCAAGGAGAAGAAAGGATTTTTGTAGGTGCCTTTTTTTTTGGGGGGGTGCAGCGGCAGGCTCCTTTTCCTCAAGGCCTCCAGAGGATCCTCAGGAGGGAACAATCCTCAAAAATGAGCCAAAACAAAAATAATGGAGGCAAGTTCTTGCTCCCTGGCTCCTGAGTCCTCCCTGGATAGCTCCAGGTGAGCATCACCAACCCAGCTGCACGTGTGTCAGTTAATTAGTCTACTCAGAGACTACGTCATTGTTTAATTGCACTAAAACCAGAGTAATGGAGAAACATGCATAATGTCGGGGGTGTGTTAACATGCATAAGCACTGCTCAAGGAGCAGGTCCCGAGGGGGAAGAGAGTCAGCCCAGGGTGGTGTCCAACCCCCATCCCCAGCACATGTCCCCACCAAACCCCTGCTATTCCCAGAGCTGCTTCCACACCTCTGGCTCTCTCGGCGCCAGCACCAAGTGCAGCCGAAGCCTTCCCCGAAGTGATGGAGCTGAAACATGGGATGGCCCCGGCCCATCATTTCCAGAGCCCTGGGACTTCTTCACACAGCAGCAGCATCCTGCTCCCCAGGAAAGGCACACAGAGGCAGCCAGCTCTCACAGGGAAGGATGCTCAGGGATTTTTCCAGTCCCAATCAATCCCACGGGCTTTTCTTGGCATCCCAAGGGGAGTGGAGGCATGTTTTTACAGGGTTGGGGTCAGTGCAAGCAAGCTGGGGCCAGCAGGGAGTAGAGTGGTGGCCACTATGAGCCTCCCTCCTTCTGCATGCACCAGATTAACTTCTTTCCTACAGAAAAAGAGGAATTAAAAAGGATTCTAGCTGCTGTTTTCTGGGCTGTGAAAGTGCCGAGGCTGTGGGAAGTCATCCTTCCAGCACCCTGGGGGAGAAGGATGCTCTGAGGGCAACCCCTGCATCCCCTGTCTTTTGCACCTCATTTGCTTTCCCTCCCCCCACCCCAGTTGTAAAAGCCACCCAGGCCAGAAGAACCTGAACACGGAGGGGAGGATGGTCAGCTGCCGGGGGGCTGCAGTGTGGGACATCACCAGGAGCTCCCATTAGCCCCCTGCCTCTGGGGCTCGGCGATCCAGGTGGAGCAGGGACCATTGGTGCCAGGGAAGCTACCACCCTGGCTGCCGCCTCCCCTAAAACTCGTAGGCAGAGACGAAGACAGTGATTTTGGACACGTGCTTGGCCTGGAAGACACGATCCAGGTATTCCGACATGTCCACATCCACCTGGATGGTCTGGGGACCCTTGAGGCTCTGCACCAGGATGAGCTCCCCGGTCTGCCGGTCTGAGCGCTGCATGACGAAGTGGCCACGGTTGTTGCCCCCCACGATGCCAAAACGCAGGCTGTCGGGTCCTGGCCGGCCAGGCGCTGCTGCCGTGGCCATGCGGAACAGCGGGGTGGGCGTCAGCAGGTTGGATGGCAAGGGAAGGTAGTGGAATGAGATGGTTTTGGGAGCTTGGTGGCACGACCGGCTCTCCATCGGGCAGGGGTTGCGCTCGCACTGGCTGCAAAGGCAAAAATGGGGTGAGGGGGAGGTTCAGAGAACCTTAGGAGGGGTCCATGTCCCCCTCCTCAGTGGCATCAGCTCCATGGGGATGCTGCACACATGTTTTTGGAACCCAGCACCCAAAAAAACCCCAAAACATCCCAAAGCAGGGCCACATTTTGCACCCTGCAGCACTTACAACAGGGAGGTTTTGACATAGGTGACATTGCCAGTGGGTGGGGGGCACTGGGGGCTGACACACTGGAAGCTCCCCCCTGTGTTGATGCAGGTGGTTCCCCTGGTGCAGTTATCCTGGGACAGGGCGCACTCGTCAATGTCTGCAAAACAGGGAGGGGGCAAACTCACCAGGGACCCCAAACCTACTCCACCAAGGGCTTCCTTTGGGTGGAAAACAGGCAAAAGTGCCTTGAAATGGTTCAGACACCAAGTATGACCAGAATATGGCTGAAAACACCTGAAATCCTGGTTCTGTGCCTGCTCTCTTCTCCCCAGGCTAGCAAGAGTTAATGGCAGTGCTCTCACAGCATGAGGGCAGCTTATTTTCTGGACTTTGCTAAGTTGTTGGGAAACACCAGCTCTTTTTATTTACTAAACATCCATGTAACCACTAAGAGACCAGGCAATAAAATCAGGAGCTTTAAATGCAGACATTTGCTGGGAGCTTTAGCAAGATGCTGTGAAACTCACAGAAGCTGGGGGAGAAAAGGCACAAGTGTCAGTTTTCTTACCATGAACTGCCATAGTCAACACATTCAAGAAGCAAAAAAAGGCCCTGTTTTTCAGAAGGAGGTTTTCATACAAGCGGCTCTGGCCACCCACCATCCCAACAGGCTCTGCAGTTCTCCTGTTTTAGGAGTAGAAAGCTGCCAGCCTCCCAGTTGATCCCTTGTCACCTAATTCTTTCTTTTTAACACTGTTTTGCCTTTCAACTTGAGGATGTCTCATTTGCATGGGACAGCTCGGCCACCACCAAGGGGTTCCCTTGCCCTTTTCATAGAATCACAGAATTATTAAGGTTGAAAAAGACCTCTAAGATCATCAGGTCCAACCATCAACCTAACACCACCATGCCAACCAACTAAACCATGTCCCAGAATGCCATGTCTACACTTTTTTTAACACCTCCAGGGATGGTGACTCCACCACTTCCCAGGGCAGCTTGTTCCAATGGCTGACCACTCTTCCACTAAATAAAGTTTTCCTAATATCCAATCTTTTAGGGCGAGATGTGGCCCCCAAAGCCTCAGAAATGCTTGAACCTTCACCATTTTCCTCCCTTCTGCACCCAGCCTGGAAGCTACCCGCCGCAGTTTTTGCGTGCAGAAATGCTTGTGTACAAGGAGGGGGGAAAAAAAGGGGAAAAAAACAATTTTTAGGAAAAGCAATTGTGAAGTTGGGAAAAAGTGGTCAATGGCAGGTTTTCCCATGCCCCTCACCTTCACAGCTCTTGCCGTCGCCCAGGAGGACGTAGCCCTGGGGGCAGGCACAGCGGTAGGAGCCAGGAAGGTTGACGCAGGCGTGGGCGCAGAGCCGGGGACCCCCCTCCCGCTTGTACACCTCGCACTCGTTGAGGTCTGTGGAGAGAGACCCAGGGGAGCAGGTGCCGGGCTGAGACCACCCCCCACAGCCCACCCCTCTGCCGCTGTGCCCCCCCAGCCCAGCACGGCTCACCCTGGCAGAGGCCGTTGGCAGCGGTGCCGCTCATGTGGAAGCCGGGGTCGCAGCTGCAGTGCTGGGTCCGGTCGATCTGGGCACAGCGGGGCTGGCGGCTGAACGCTGGGGCATCCGTGACGCTCCAAGCCGGGGGAGCTGGGGAAGGGGGAGGGAACACATGATGGGATGGGATTTGAAACAAGGTGAGGTGACAAAATGCAGCCGGAGGGTGGTGGGTCACCCACCCATCTGTGCCTGGTACTGGCAGGTGGCTCCGGTCCACTGCTGGGGACAGAGGCACTTGTACTGGTTCAGCCCCTCCAGGCATGTCCCACCGTTCTGGCAGGGGCTGCTCGAGCACTCGCTGATCTCTGCAAAGAAAAACAAGACAAGTGGCCACGTTTCATGGATACCCCATCCTTGGAAGTGTTCAAGGCCAGTCTGGATGGGGCTTGGAGCAACCTGGTCTAGTGGGAGGTGTCCCTGCCCATGGCAGGGGGTTGGGATTGGATGAGCTATAAGGTCCCTTCCCACTCGAACCATTCAATGATTCTGTGATTTTATTTGGGGAAGTGAGACACAGGAGCACTGCATGCACACAGGTGCTTTGGTACCCCACGGGCACATCATGGCCAAGGATTTGGCTGAACTCAAGACACTAATGGTGGCACTGCTATGATTTGCCACGACACAGGGAGCCACCGTAGCATCAGTGCCTTTCCCTTCTCACTTCTGCCACTGCAATTTCCAGCTTTCCTTCAGGATGAGAAGCCTTGAATGACCAATGGTGGGAGCCACAGCATCCCTGGCTGTCTGGGATTCACGGACAAGCTGTGATACCTCTGTATTTGGTGAAACCCCAACAGATCCCTCCCTGCCGTGTTTAAATAAACCCAAATGACACCCTGGGTGCAAAGTGGGCAGCCCAGAGCCGTACCTGTGCAGTGGGGCTCCTGTCCACTCCAGCTGCCATTGGCCTGGCACGTCCGGGTGCTGGAGCCCAGGAGCTGGAAACCTGGGTTGCAGGTGAAGTGAACTTCGTGCTCCACCAAATACTTGGTGCCAAACTTCTTCCCATCCACTGGGGCTTGCAGGGCAGGGCAGGAGGCTGCAAGAGCATGGTGGGGAGGGAGTCAGTGTCCAGGGGTGTGCTTTGAGGGAGCATTGGCTTATCTTTCCTGTCCCCAGCTCTACTGCAGTTCACCCAGTTCCTCCAAGACCTTCTCTTCAACTTATTTTCCTCAAATACTGGGCTGCTGAGGTTAGCCAGTAACATCCAGCCCCACAGCGGGACTGAGAATCACCAGCAAGGTGTTTGGTGGCATTTTTGCCATCCCTCTCATGCTCTGTTGCTGGAGACATGGTTTTACAGACCCACTTGCCCCCAGTGCCTTGCCAGGAGCTCTCTGCTTCACAGCTAGAGGCTTTTGAGCCTCTTCATGTCTCACCAGGCTGGAAATGTGATGGGATTCACAGGCACAAATTGTCAATATGGATACAGGTATTCTCTACCCATGGAGATGCCCAAACCTCCACTCATCTCAGCCTCGAGCACCCCCACCTGCCCCCCCCCCCAGCATCTTCCAAGGCCCTAGAAACAGCCAGCGGGACCCAGGGAGGACTCACCAGCTGGCAGCTCAGGGGTGGCTTTGGCCAGGGAGGCGTGCAGGGTGCTCAGGCGGCTCTTCATCAGGCGCAGGCCCTCAGCGAAGCGTGTCTCCTGCCCCTTCACCAGCTGCTGCATCTGCCGGATGGTGGCCAGGAGCTGCTGCCTGCTGAGGCAGCTCTGTCAGGACAGGGTGGATACTCAGAGAGGGGACAGTGGCTCCGGTCCCCACGCCAGCTAGGACCCAACCTGTTGCTTGGAAGTAGGAATGCTCAAGCAGGAGCTCTGCAGCATTAAAGGTCCCCTGAAATACCTGATTTTCTACTTTTTCCCCCTATTTACACAGATGCAGAAGGTTTTTTAGCCCCTTCAAGAAGTCCTCAGCTCAGATGTCCTCTCCTACATCTCAGTGGGCAACACAGCACTGCGAGCAGGGCTGCAATCACTTTGTTAGCCCTGGGAGAGATGCCATAACTCGTGTTCCATCCTGCTGGAGCTACAGCCCTGTCCCACTTCCACATTACAAAATAGGAGGAAAACAGCAGTCTTGTGAGTTCTGCTGGGGCCAGGAACCCTGGTGGGACTCCTGCCTGCAAACCAGTGGCTACCACGGGGCTGACTCATGCAGGAGACCAGCATCATTATTATAGGTTTCCTGCAGAATTTACTTAAAAGCGAGGAAAAAGAGCAAGAGCTAAGCAAAGCCAGGATGGTTTTAGAGCTCAGAGATCCACGGAGTGCACAGAGGGGGCAGGGAGAGCACACAGGCTCTGGGGGCAAATGGGGGCCCAGCAGAGCTGCTAGGCACCAGCCCAACTGGCCCAAGAGATTTGCTTTTCCCCCCAGCCTCACTGTGCGGGGGTGAAGTTCTTCTCTTTCCCGAGGGTTTACAAAGAAGAAAGAAAAGCCAGCCCCAAACCGTGTGCTGTCCTCAGGGAGGTTTTGGGGGGATCACGGGTTGCCGGTGGGGATGAGCTGCTCTTTGCCCGCAGCTGCGGGGTGCAGGGGAGGGAAGCAAAAGCAAATAGATGCCTGGCACGCAGCAGCCTCACTGTGCGGGGGTGAAGTTCTTCTCTTTCCCGAGGGTTTACAAAGAAGAAAGAAAAGCCAGCCCCAAACCGTGTGCTGTCCTCAGGGAGGTTTTGGGGGGATCACGGGTTGCCGGTGGGGATGAGCTGCTCTTTGCCCGCAGCTGCGGGGTGCAGGGGAGGGAAGCAAAAGCAAATAGATGCCTGGCACGCAGCTCCCTTTAATAAACAGCTCTTTGTTAGAGCTGGTTTTCACTTCCAGAGCCGGCG